CTACAAACTATATCGGCATTCTGCAACCAACAAAGCACGATGACACGTCGTTGAGTCATTCGTCCATATATGATGCTAGAGTGGCGTTCACAGCTAGCAATCTCGGAATGAACTATTTGTACACTAGCAGCCGTCTAGTCAGAAAGTTGACATTTTGTCGGAGTTTTTTGACATTTTTATTATCATGTAAAAAACCTATAAAACGTCAAAAAAATCCATAAAATGTCATCTTGCAGACTAGGTAGTCTTTAGGGTGCAAAGTCATTCCACGTTTGCTCACTAGGATCGTTGTGAGCGTCCATCTATGGAGGTATGGATCAACTATACGCATTGTTGGTTGCATATGTTTTGTGAAGCCGAGTAGTCTACAGTTTTCAATCTCTGAGAAGAAAGTTGATTGAATAGCAAAATCGTATCTGGATGATTGTGTATATTGTTTATAAAATCAGTGATATTAGCTGTGTGAGAAAATCATTACTGAATATGCTGCTAATGAAGTATATCTATTAGCTGTGCCTGACGGGTTCTTTATGTTGTCCTTTCTGAAGACAGGTTATGTTCAAAGCTATAAATTACGATTTTTTACGTTTTCAAAAACTTTGAGGATTAAGGAAAATCACCACCGCGCCCGCGTTGTGTGTAATTACATGTATATGACTTGTAATTCGACAGTGCACAGTGAATGTAATTATTTATCTCCCTCATTTTTGAAAAATGTATGAGAAAAAGTGGATGCGCAACTAATTTCTAGCTTTGAGAAGTGTGTCTTTTTTTTGAAATAATTTATTTAAACACAATAATACAAAATGTATAACCAGTTTTAACAATAATTCCCCAATCAGTGTTTGCAAACAGTTTGCAATCAGTGTTTGCAAACACTGGCCCCGAGAATAACAAGACAATAATCAATATCTATGAACTACAGGTACACTGCAATGTTGCTCATAATTTCAACAAATAAATTCATTAACATTTTTGAAATCTTTCAATTCTCTAACAAAACTTCTATAGTTATTTGAATATTTTATACAATGAGGTAAATTATTAAATTTCTTAATTGCGTCTGTGATCGGATTTTTTAAACCTATATTAGTTCTTGTGGAAATTTGATAAACATTATTTAGTGATCTTGTTTGGTGATCATGCACGTTATGGTAGAACCTAATATTTATGTTACTTTTTAGTAGATTATTTATAATTTTATAAACAAGTGTACATTGTTCCACCTCCAATAACACTCTTAATTTGTTTAAATTTAAATAAAGTGTATTAGAACTTGTAAGCCAATCAAAATTAAACAATATTTTCAGAATTTTATTTTGTAAAACTTGAGCTTTATTAAAATTAACTTCACCGCACATACCCCATACTGGCAAGAGGTACCTAAAATGTGTGAGAAAGAAGGCATTATAAATTTGAAATTTGCTTTTGTTGGACAAATAATATCGACTCTTATATAAGGCAGATAGCATTGAAACTATTTTATCACAAATTCCATTTAAGTGAAGTGACCAATTTAAACTTTCATCTATTAGTAATCCCAAATATTTAATACTTGACACTTTTTCTAGTGCTATATTATTTATGTTAATATTTAGATTATTGCTAACTATCTTATTTTTTTGTTTAAATATAATGTATTTTGTTTTTTCAATGTTAATTTTTAATCTAATCGAAAACAGCCATTTAAGATAACTATTCAGGTCATCATTAATAAGATTCGTTAAAGCAATTTCGTCTGTTCCAGTATATACCAGTACAGTGTCATCTGCAAAGGTAAAATATCTTCCCCTCAGATTGGCCAACTTGAGATTCAGTACATAAAGACTGTATAACAGAGGTCCAAGAACTAACCCCTGTGGTGATCCATAGGTGCTAGATAACCATTCACTATCAATGTCTCCAAGCTTTATGTACTGTTTTCAGTCATATAAATAAGATTTAATCAAGCTGTACGAAACACCTCTAAATCCCATTTTAAACAATTTATCCAAAAGAATGTCTATGCTTACTACGTCAAAAGCTTTTTTTAGGTCAATGAAAACAGCTACAACTATTTATTGTTTATCTAGAGCCATTGAAATGTAGTCCACAAAATCAACAACCGCACTAAGTGAGCTACTGTTCGTTATAAAACCATATTGAAATTCATCAAACAATATATTGTGAGTAACAATGAAAGATAACATTCTTTTTTTTATTAATTTTTCTATAATCTTAGAGAATACACATACCACTGAAATAGGCCTGTAATTGTTCATGCATTTAATATCTCCCGACTTAAAAAGTGGGGTTATTTTACTTATTTTCAATTCTGATGGAAAGATTCCTTTTTGTATAGTTTCATTGATTAATCGTACTAAAACAGGTATTATACTAAGTGACATATAAATCCGAACACCCAGTTTAAATGGTTTTATTTTAATAAAAGTTGGTGAATGTATTTATCTTACTGTAAATAACAAGTGAAAAATTTTTCAGCCTTATCAGTTGGACATTCCGGTTTTTATACTGCTTTTTTTTAATTCACTAACGCTCTAAAAATGAATATTTCAGCCGCAGTAAAGAATCAACGTTGGCGGATTTTGGTTCTTGACATCCTTTACGATCGGTTACGATGCTTAGAGTACAGAGATCTGTACGATTTCTTCAACTTAGTGAGTTTGATAGGGGCCGTATAGTGGGACTTCGGGAAGCTGGACTTTCTTTTCGGGCAATTGCAGTTAGAGTGCAAAGAAGTGTAGACACTGTGGTTAGGTGTTGTCAGGCATGGCTTCGAGAAGGCCGTACGCAAAGAGCAAGGGGCACTGGACGCCGCCGTAGAATAACAGACCGTGAAGATCGCCGCCTAAGATTATTGGCCTTAAGGGACCGTTTCTCCACTACCAGGTAAATTGCAAATGAATGGTTTGCAGAACACGGAAGATCTATTGGCATGCGAAGTGTTTACCGACGAATGAGAAGTTTTGGCTTGTTTTCATACCGGCCACACTGGGTCCTCCCTTTAACTCGAGAACACCGACGTAATCGCCTTGAGTGGTGCAGATAACGGTCACTCTGGGATCAGGAATGGAACAGTATTGTCTTTAGTGACGAGTCTCGATTTTGTTTAGGCATGCACGATGGTCGTGCCAGGGTTAGAAGGCGACGTGGTGAAAGGAGGAATCCACAGTTTTTTGTTGGAAGACATGTTCATCACACTGTTGGAGTTATGGTTTGGGGTGCTATAGCTTATGGTTCCAGGTCACCTTTAATCTTCATCAGAGGTAACATGAACGCGCAGCGTTATATCCACGATGTTCTAGAACCTCATCTTTTACCCTATCTTGACACCCTGGCAGATCCAACTTTCCAACAAGATAATGCCCGACCACATGTTGCAAGTGTCACAATAGACTTCTTTCAACATAATGATGTCACATTGTTACCATGGCCACCAAGATCTCCCGACTTATCCCCAATTGAGCACGTGTGGGATATGATGGGTAGGATATTGCTCAATTTGCAACGTCCTCCTCAGCCTCTAGAAGCACTTCGGGAGGAGTTGGTGGTTGTCTGGAATGAGATACCACAGGAGGACATTGACCACCTGATCAGAAGCATGCCTAGGCGCGTTGGAGAATGCGTAGCATCCACACATTATTAAAGGTCAAAGGGCTTTAAAGCAGTGCAATCATTTTGAAATTTTTATCATTTACTTATTATGCTTCAATAAGTACTTATACAAAATTTTATTAAAATAAAACCATTTAAACTGGGTGTTCGGATTTATATGTCACTTAGTATATTTATCCTTAACCGTGATACCGTCATATCCAGGTGCTGAGTTTATTTTTAGTTCTTTCACAACTTCGAACAACTCTTCTTTATTAGTCAATGTTATCGAAATAGAATCTTCGTAGTGAACCTCACCAACAGAAATAAACTCATTCAATTGCTGAATCTCTGCTTCCAAATTTTCAACAATTGATCCACCGACCCGAGAAAAGTATTTATTTAAATTGTTTGCAATATCAAGTTGAGTGTTAAAACTGTTATTTTCAGTTACTAGTTGATCAATTCTTACTTTATACTCCTTATTTTTTATTAGGCTGTTTATAAAAGCCCATTGTTTCTTTACATTATTTCAAGCTAAGCTCCATTTAGTTTGGAAATAACGGTTCTTCAAAGCACGTATTTTATTGTTTATTTTATTTTTGATGTTTTTAAATTCAAAGATGATAGTTAAGTCTTCTGGTTGGTTAATCTTTCTTTTGTAAAATTTATCTCTTTTTTTGATAAGCTCAAGGACTTCATTACTTATCCAGGTGTTATTTGTACGTATTCTTAATTTTTTTATATATACCGATTTACTTTTGCAGTCTTCAATTAAATTAATTAATTCTTGAAAAGTTGTTACATTTATGCTTAAAATTTTTTGTCTAAATAAGTTTACACATTTTTTATAATCTACAGATTTTACCTCATAATCAACTTTTGGTTTATGAAACTGCACATATGTTTTAATATCATTGAGACAAGAATCCAATGGAATTATCATCAACACATATTATTAGCACACAAATCCTCACTATGCATCTTTGCATTTCTGTTACCTCCAGTAATGCCATCTCTGAAGCAGATTTTACATCATATCAGAGCCAAACATTGATAACTGAAGCCTCATGACGTTTAGGGAACACGTACAACTACAAAACGAGTTCGCAGAGAGTCCATCAGCTAGTGCCAAGTTAACATCTTGTAGAAAAACCTACATGTCACAAAAAACAAATATAATGTCAAAAAATCGACATAATGTCACTTTTCAAGATACGTAATACCCGTGCGGCACTAAATGCGAGAATGGCAAGTATACGCCAGAGGTATACAGGGCGAATGTTGACCCGTTGTTTTTTTTCTCCGAAATAATGCTGATACGACACTCCCATACGGAGTTTAAAACTGTTCTAGACTGATGGAGTGAAACGCAGAATGATTTTTAAACAAACTCAGTCACCCACCTGCTGTTGCATGATGAGCCTCTGTTGCGCTGCGGCCATCTCGTGCTGCAACGCCGCAGCCGCGCCCCACGGTTCTGCCGCCATAGCCGCCCTCGCTTGCGCCTGCTTGTAGGCAGCCATCTGCAGGTATTGCAGCTGTAGGAGTTCTGCCGCGGCCGCCGCTGCGTCTTTGCCGCCCACTCCCACTGTAGGCGAGGCGGCGGCGCCCAAAGAGCCCGCCCCCGTTGCGTCAGCCTTCAGAGGCGGGATCCGGAGCACAGCCATCGAGAACGGATTTGACGCGCCGCCGCACAAAGCGATCAGTTCGCCTAGGAGGAAGAAGCGCTCGTCATGGTGACGCCGGACCTGTAACGAATGTCGGAGTTGGTTATTGAATATAGGCCATTTATGACCAAAAACGTATATCTACCAAAATTATAGTTTAAAGTGGATAATAAAGATTCCGAACATGTCGATTTGCTATATGAAAACGCATAAACCTTTGAGAGCACGTGCCGAAAAAATAGGTATTTTCATGTAACAATGGTCTGTTGCAAGTGATATACCTGTAAACCTTCAGTTTTCAAATAACAATGTCCATTGGCTGAAATCTAGAAAAATCTATTAAACATTCCTCACCTTCAACTGATTACTGAAATACCCCGCCTTGTACCACTCTGCCATCTCTAAGTCCGTGAACGGTCCCTGAGTCTGCCCCTGAGGATCTTGATAGAACCATTTGTCGTTATGCGGGGTGGTTTGCTGATGATGCATGGCGGGTGGCGGTGCCAAATTAGGCGGCACTACCGTTGATGACGTCACGCTGACCCCCGCTGGAGCTTCGAAGCCAGCAGGAGGTTGCCGTTGGTGCTGTTGCTGCTGCAGTCTGCGGGGTGGTTCCTCGTCCACGACTAGTTTCAATACGAAGTCTTCTTGAAGTTTCTCGAAGTCCGGCTCTTCCGACGTCCTGAAATTGGAATATTTTTGAGGATTTGTAGTAATGCCATTGAAAAGACCATTATTTAACACTATTTTGACTTAGACAAGGACTGATAATGTCTTTTTTCACTACTAACCTGATAAATCGTAATTATTTACCACTTTCATGTATATTTCTACCATTTTTGATATTACTAATAATTATTGTTTACTACTAGTAAATGCATAGTCTATTTTATGAGTGAAACTGTTGTTGTTGATTGTCTTTATTTATTCAATTATTTTGACAGCTTGAAAGACTCATGCTGCTTGGAGAAGTTGAGTATTTCAAAATGAGTGGGAAACAAAGGATATGTCGATGAACATAGTATCCTATGTTCCTACATATAGTCAACGCCAAACAAAGTGGCGTGGACGTCATCAAGGTGGGTGTGTTGAAAAATTTACATTGTTGCCAAACTTTTTGTAAAATAATAAAATTTATTATTTACATATCTAGGTTTATAAGCAATATTAACCTCAATTGAGAACAAAAATAATAGTATAATAAAATTATAGATCTGTACTTGCATAATCATTAAGTATGACAATTATTGATCAGATGACACTATGAAACTACCATATTTAATTGATAGCTTAAAGGTACTGAATAAAAATCCAAATGGGGTCCTCCAAATTTTATGCATGGTATTTATTTTACAGAATTCATACAGAAAAATGCATTCTAAAATTAGGTAAGCTACTGGTGTAAGCTTTTTCTGTACAATAAAGTTAGTCGGAGTTTCTTTCTTCAGCGCTGTCTGAATCTGAATCTTCATCACTCTCAAAGTTGATTATTAAAGGTTCGATGTCTAGTCGATCAAAAATTCGTTCTCTTTCATACCATTTAAAAATTTCTTGCTCAGTATGTCGAACACTATTTTTCCACATGTCTGGGGTAACCGTTTGTAGAGCCTCGTTCCACATATCCAAACAGTCTTTTTCACTGTTACCATCTCTACCAATATGTCTGTTATAGTAACCTTTTGCTATGCCCCAAATTAACTCAATAGGGTTAAATATACAATGGTAAGGATGCAGACGAAGAACTTTGTGCCCATGTTGTTCCGCCAATTCATCAATCACGTATATTTTAGGTGGTTTGTTTCTAAAAAAGCAGTTATTTTAAGAATAGGAATAAACAAAAGAAATATAAACTGTCGACCAAAATATATATAATTAAGAAGCATTATGTACCGAGCAACAATACTCAATAGCTCTGTTTTAAACATTGTGTTTAAAAATGGTATGTTTTGATTTGTCAACCAGTCTTGGATATTTTTTTTTGTCCATGCATTGTTGGGCACTTTGTTCAATATCATGCTGTGATAAGGGGCGTTATCCAGTATAATCATAGATGGACTCTCCAATTTTTCTAATAACTGATGTTGAAACCATTTCAAAAAATTGTCCTGGTTCATCTCTCCATGGTAATCGCTCAATTTTGTTTTCGAAGAAAATATCGCTTCACTACCCTCAATAAACCCATTTTCATTTCCAGCATGTAATATAATGTATCTAAAATATATTAGTTTTAAATTTTATAGTGCAAATTGTGTAAAAGTACATACCTTTTACCATCTGTTTTAATAGCTTTCACGCTTTTTTGGTTTCCATTTTGCCAAGAGCAACCCATGGTCCCATTTTGAAATATCCAAGTTTCATCGAGGAAGACAAACTGGTATAAGGCCTCAACCTTGGCTTGATTGTATTGCCTTAGAAATTCCACCCTTTTCAAAGCTATACTTGGTAGTTCCATGAGCCCTCGTCGCGGATTGTCCTTAAGCCACTTAAATCCAAGATCTCTAAGCAACCGCCTTAAAGACGTGGCACTACCATCAAATAATGCCCTATCTCTTAATCGAGACCATAAAGTTTGTATCGTAACTTGTTCTTCTGAAACCATGTGTAATATGACATTATAATTTAGTTAACAAATTAATGCAAATTTCTGATAAGTTATTATAATAAGATCTTACTTTTGTGATACATATTATAGATCACTTCTCGAATGGCACTTGTATCCAATGTCGCTGTGTTGGTTACACGTTTAATATAACTCCGCTTTTTCTTGGGCGATTCTAAATTTGCATCACTTTTCACACCCTCGGAAATACGACTAACTGTCCTTAAACTAATTTTTAAAGCAGCAGCAACACGCTACAAAAAATGAAATAAAATTTCACTATTATTAATATACATTACATATAATTATTAGTAACCTACCTCTTGAACAGCATTTAAAGGCAACAAAGGCCCGTTGTTGTCCCTTTCTTGCTCAAAGTAGTGCATTAACGAGGCCACGAGTTCCTTACACCGACTATTTAACTGTTTGGGCATCTTTATATACCAAAATTGCCTTTATCTACTCGTAAAATGAATAATTTTGTTTTGAAACAAACAGTTGTTGATTTACAGTATGCGGGGCCAAAGGATTTATAAAGATTTGAAATGCCACAAATTGATTCAGTGTCAAAAATAATACAAATGTCAGTTCCCAGTTTAAATAAGTTTCAAGGTGACAATGTGTCAACGCTGCGAAATCGATTTAGTGCGTTTACATGTCGATAAGTGATTGGAGCGTTTGCAAAACATTTTATTTCGCATAATGCGTCTAAATTTATCAGAAAGCAACTTATGTGATATTTTAATAACAATGTTTATATGACTATTAACCATAATAAGAGAGTAATGACCATTTTACAATTTATATATCACATTAATATGAAACTGCAATAGAGCAATTGTTTGTGATAGAAACCTAGGCATTAGGTCGGGGAATTTTTATCGTGATGACGTGCACGCCACTTTGTTTGGCGTTGACTATAGCGGTATTGTTCCTCTCCTACGCACCATCCTGTAATGCAGACATTGCATTGACTTTATCTGAAAACGTTGCCGGAAGTTAAGGACATTATCAGGAATGCTTTATGAACCAGCTCTGCAAGATCAAATCGATTTACACCTTATCGGTGCAGCTGGTTTATTAACAACAAGTTGCCAGTGGACAGGCATGTGGGGTAGCACAATGCTGGTACATTGGAATCGGCAAAAAACGTCAAAGATGGCTTAGTTGCTACTACTATTACTACTCTACCAGTACTACATCAGATATGCTATGTTCCACAGCTTAATCAAACCAATATTTCATGATTAGTAGTGAAATTCTATACACACCTCGAAGCAGACTATTTTTGGCATGATTATCAATAAAATTACATAAATATCCTGGTAAATGTACTATTTCAACAATACTGTTATATAAATGCTTAGACTATCTACTCTACTAGACGCACCAACATATAAACAACTTTGACAGCATTGCCAAAGTGATGGTTTGAAACAAATCGTTCTCAAAACATGCAGCCTCTGCTGCTGAAAATCTGTTATAAAAACGCCCATAAACCTATTTAACCACGTGCAAATATGGTAATTTTAAAACAGGTCAGTTTATAATAAGTAATCCGACGGTTTTTCTTCTGGGCAACAGGAAAATAAGTAGAAAAGTTGGCTGATCAGCTTTTAAGTTGGATATTTACTATATCTGTAATTATATTCATCTATCCATCCTATATTAGCATGGTGATACTGTATTTCTTTTGCTTCAAGGCAAGAGTGTGGTGTTAAAAAAATTCTTAATACAGTAGATGCATACAGTGCCTCTTTTAAAGTCCTCCATTCACTTTTTCGAACTGGTCAAGTTTTTAAGCTGAAATTCAGCACGATGAAATTGATGCATAAATAGTATATTTCAACATAAAAGTGACAGTGGGAAATTTCGTGAAGGCGGGTGGGTGCCATTTAAGATCATATTTTTAATGGAATAATGAATCAAAGTTATTGCTTATAACTCCAAAACCCACCATCAGAATGATATGTATACCAATCTTTTTCTCTTGGAAAGGATCTAACTGAATATGTCATACAGTATGAAACATTCATTTTTACAAAAATCGTCATAATCTGTTAATTTTTTCAAATGGAATGTTGCATATTCACATTTAGATAGATGCCCAGACACCATCTGGGAATTTTTTACTGCGAATTTTATATTACAATATAGTCTTCATGCATCAATTTCATCATCCTGAAGTTCAGCTTGCCAACTTTTTTGCCTCAAAATTTTGAAAAGCACTGTACATTTTGACATTGTTTAAAATCCCTTACAACATTAAACTATCACAGCTTTATGAAGTCTGCCTGTTCCAAAGTTCCATATATTAAAATTGAAATCGCACTGTTCTCCTATAGAATTACCTCGACTTATTTGGCAGTGGGCCATTTGCAACCACCTGTTGTGACTCTGTGGTGGTAGACGTAGAAGAAGTCGACCTTTGTGGTCCTTCAGATTTTGCTCTCTCTTGTACTAACATGTCCTTATCTACCTTTTCTGGAATACTAGGAACTGATTTTTTCCTTTCAGACTTTGCATTATTCTCCTTCATTTGGTTTTGATTTTCGCCAGACTTGTGAGACTGCAAATAAAGATTGTTGATCAAAAAGTTGTTTTTATTTATCCTGGGTATTGAGAAATTATGATAAATACCAGGTCAAGCTCACCTCTTTTTTTCTGGCCGAATCTTCAGGTTTATTAACAAGGGACATGGATGATTTAGATGATGATAGAGGAGGGGGATGTGCTTTAGTAGAGATGTGTTGCTGAGACGATGATTTTTGAAGGCTTGGTTCCCGTCTATGCGTGACTCTTCCATCCAACTATGGAAAAATAAATCCAAAGAATTATTTGTAAAACATCATAATATTAATACAGGGTTATTACAAAAGAATCATCGGGTTTTAAAAATATATATTTCTGAAGGTATTACAGATATAACAGTAAGTGGCATGTCAATGGAAACGATAATCCAAACGATAATCCAGTTCGGCCCATACACGATTTACGTGGTCGTCAGGTCGTAAGCTTTGTAGCATCTGTAGACGGTACGGTTTGAATCGCAATCGTTTCCGCAAAATTTTCCATACGGTTGGCTGGGGAATACCAAGTTCACTTCCTGCTCTGCTAGTGGACTGTCGCGGAGAACGCGTGAAACTGTGTCTAACTGCGTCAACCATTTCGTCAGGAACTCGTGATCTTCCGGTACTTTTACCTTTAGTAATGGAACCTGTCTTCTTGAATTGTCGATACCATGCTCTGATGACCTGGAGAATCAGTTCCATACCGCCGTCGGAATGCACGTTGCACTGTAACAACCGATAAACATCGCGCTTACTCTAACACACAAAACGCTTCCTGCTGCATAGTCGCCATTTTGTATTCTGAGCTCGTGGCGCTACCTAGGGAGGTAAATCGGCGTTCGCAAGCACGTTTTTTAAACTCGAACATTTTCTTTTTCTAGTGATATGTCATTTGATATTATATTTTTAAAACCCGATGATTCTTTTGTAATAACCCTGTATAATATCAATTGGAGGCATTTGGACTACCAATGTTTTGGTAATGACCAATTAATAGTAACAGTAGTAAACATCAATGATCGGTAGGCTGAGCACCTTTATACCCTGAGGCACATAGAGCAGAGGGATACAATGTCCGAGATCAATAATGTCCTTTTCAAGCAAGGTATGTGGAGCATTTTTCACTACTGACACAGTATATCACTAAATTCGAGTTTATAAGGTTTAAATAATTCCATTGTATAGCAGTGGCGAAGCTTCCTTGTAACCATTGTTACCATTGGTAACAGTTAAAAATTTAAAAATAAATATTTTATGGCTAAGTACTGTGAAATAATTTCATTTATTTGTTTACCAACAGCGATGTGTAATAGTAATTCAGTAAATAACAAATTAGCTCCACGAAAATAATGCGCCCTATAGTGTGTTTTACGAACACGACGAAGCTTGACTCGCCTCGACTTGGTTGTTACCATTTTCATTTATGGATGCATTTGGTAGTCCGTCGGAGAGTGTCGGTACCGGCTCGTGTCTGATCGCAGACGCCCGAGTGCGTGGGGCGCTGCGACTATTATGTGGGCTTGTTACCATTTTTTGATTTGGTTACTCACTTCTCACTCGTTAGTAGCCGTTTTGGTTACCAGCTGTAGTGTGCGTGCAATTAATCATGGATAAGTGTCGCTGCGTAATCGATCATCTACTTGAAAAGTCATTCTCCTTGTATAGTTTTTAAGAAAAAAAGGAGATCATTGAAAATGGAAGACCAACACCTATTTTAGATAATTTTAAAAAGGAATAAAAAAACGTAGTTTGATATTTTAAATTAAGTTGGTATATGGAAACTCTTGGTTATGTAGTTTAAAAAAACAGATTGTATTGTTGGCGATATCTTCTGTTTCATACAGAAAAAATGGGTGGACCAGCAGCGGAGTCAAAGATTTATATAGTTTTAGGGCTCTAAAGAGGAGACATGAAATTTCTCCATTACATGTGAGATATGTAGCCAATTTAATTCAGTTTGGCAAAACAGGAATCGAAAGATGTCTTAACCAAGCTTTTAGGCAGCTCACTTCTAGATACCGTATGTTTTTTGGCAAAACAGGAATTACCGTTTATTTTGAAGTGGATGACTCTGACAATAGAGGAAATTACAGGAAATTGTTAACATTCATTGCCAAAAAAGATCAAAAATTTTCGAACATCTAGAAACGTGGACTGCTTTTTCGGACGGATTGGATTAGTCATAGCATAAGAACGATGAGGTATATCAAGTGCCCCAGACGATCAATCCAGGAATGTTTACCTTAATTTACAAATAGTTTAAATAAAATACCTAAAATAAGCAAAAACTTATATTTGGGAGGTTCAAAGTAAACTTTTTTAATAAGATTTTTCACATCTGGTTTTGGTAACAGTTTAGGAAAAGTCACGCGTCGCCACTGTTGTATATTGTTATTTACCCTTACCTATTCGCAAAATGAACCATCGTTTCGTTTCATACCAATTTTACAAATATCTGGAAAGCACAAGTAGCCTTGCGTTAAACTGACAATTAGCAGGATTGGCTTACGCGCTAGTCTGGTCCATTTCAGTTTAAGAAGGGAATAAGGACCTTGGGTGGAGCGGGACTAAGGGAGGTCCCCGAAGGGAGTAGGCACTAGGCAAGTGCCTGCAAGAGTACTATGAGCCTTGAATTGAAATGCAAGGAGGCTCTAGATAGACTAGTAGCGAACCATCTAGTATCGTGTGGGTACCGGGGCACGCTGGGATAAAGGGTAATGACATGGCGGACGCTCTTGCCTAGGGTTAGAAAAGCACTTTTTCAGCGGGGCAAAGCGAACAATAATGGTAATTTATAAGGTTAATTGCAATGCAAAATACTAATGAAGGCTATTTCGTTGAGGATAAATCATCCATGAAAACTGCACAATAAGTCTAATTGAGTCAAATCGTCCCGCAATCTGTTGCGACTCGCTATTATTTAAATCCATCCAAAAGTTATTGGTTCCCTGGTGCAGGTCTGATCTACATTAAATTTGATGAATGATGATGATATAAAGTTATTCTATAATATTCACAATTATACAGTGATTTTTCTCAAATGGAATGCCCTACTCTTCACTACACATTTGGATAAGCCCTTTTAAAAGAATAAGATTGACATAACATACACATGGATTTTAGATATTAGCTGTAGAATTAATGGGTGTATCATATGAAAAACATAATCTGTTATATTGACAGGAGGAGTCGTCAATTTTGTGTCAAAACTCCTTTATTTTACTCAATTTTAGCCTAATTCATCCATTTTTCAATTTTTTTGAATGATCAATACAGGGTGGTCAAAAACACAAAATCTACTTTCTTGCAGAAAAAAAAATGTGAGTACTATCGAATCCTCATTTTCATGTGCTTTTTTTAATATAAGGTTTCAAAAAAATTGATATTTCTCTATTCAATCAAGTCACATCACCCATGGAGGCAAAAAGTAAGTAATGGATTATTGACAATCTGTCTACAAAATCAGGCATTTATCAAGAAACCAAGTAATTATTTGCTTTTGTATTGTAATTACTATAGATTGATTCAAATTATTTGTACTACTAAAAAAATTTCCAAAAACGTCCCCTTGATGTTGAACACACATTCACAGTCTTAGAAGGAATGTTTCACACTCTCTAGTGTGTTCACTGATATTTAGAAATGCATCTTGTATTCTCTGCTTCATATCAACTACAATAGGAGCCTCAGATTGTGTGCTCCACATCAAACAGGTATTTTTTATCATTCTCTATAGTAGTACAAATAGTTTAAATTTTTGTCTTATATACTTATAGATGTCATGTTCAGACATATTAAGATATTAATTTTATATCAACCAGTAATAATGAATTACAACAAAAAAGCATTGAATTACTTGGTTTCTTGATAAAAGCCTGATTTTATAGACAGATTGTCAATAACTCTTAGTGGTTTTTTGCTTTCAAGATGAAATTACTTGTCTGAATAGAGAAATATCCATTTTTTAAATGTCGAGGCTATTACGCAGAAACCGTTTGAACAAATCGCTAACCTTAAACCTCATAAGAATTGGGATCCGATAGTACAAAAATATACAGTGCTCCATTTAATTTTCTTGTACAAAAGTACATTTTGCGTTTTGACCAAAAAATGGATGAACTGTGCTAAACCTGAGTAAAAACAGAAAAAGACACAATTATTCATGATTTTACCTGCCAACACATGAAGGCAGTCAAACTTTGATGTTTTTTATACAAAATACTCATTCATTCATCAACTAATAACCAAAACCCGTAAGTATGTTATATCAATTAAGTTCTTTTCAAATGACCTATCCCATGTGTAACAAAGGACATTCCATTTAAGAAAAATCAGCTTTGATATGTGGGTTAAAATTAAAACAGCCTGCATAATTATCAATATTTTAGAAATATGCCTGCAGATACCATATACATATGTATAACAATCCATGAATAGTCTGAAAACTTTTTGTTTATGAGTAATAAATACTCCGTCCTCGCACGCCTTTTCCTCAAACTTTCGACAGCCTGGCTATCTGTCATTTGCCTGATTTCTCCATTAAAGGATGTCCCAAAAATAAATGAATGAATTACACCCACCTGCTCGTCGTCCGATCCATGAAAAGCCCCCTTGTCATCGAACGACCCGCCCCCATCCGCCGGGTTCTCAGTGGCCCATTCGGGCAGGTGGTCCTCGTGGTCCCAGCTTCCGCCGCCGCCTCCGGGCCGTCTCAGTGTTGGCCTTCCTCCACCCTGCCCTTCACCACCTCCGCTGCTCCAACTGCCCCTTTGCCTCTCGGTAGGCAGACGATCGTCATCGCCGCCTGCCCCGGCCCCCGATGAGTCTCGCCAGCTGGTCGACCGCCCCCACTTTTCGAACATGCTAGACGTGGGGGCGGGCATACGGCGCCATCCCGCCCCATCGTGGCTGCCGCCTGGCTCGCCGCCAAGGTGATCGTCGGACAACGGGCGAGAGCGACGCCAGTTCTCCATGCCGCCTCTGTAAATGAATTTCCAATTTTCAATATTTAATAATAGAGGCTTAGTTTGAGGAGTGAACAGCATTGCGTTAATCTACGATTTGTGGGTATCTGTATCATAAAAGTGCACAATTTATCAAGTCATTTTCCTATATGGCACCCAATTCATACAATGAATTGTGAAGACACTTTCTAAATTGAGTTTGGCAAAGAAAATTAAGCAATTCGTTTTTAATAATGATTGTTGAATAAGTTTTGAATGACTTTGTTTAAAAGTGTACCTGGGTGTTCATATAATTCTTGTATTGTGTCTTGTGGAAAATGTAACATATTCCTCTTTGTTTATACCGAGTCTTGTTTCAATGTGTCATTTGTTCAGGGAGTGCTTTGTTAGTGACATTTTCTTTCTAATTTGCTGACAAATACTAAAGTATTAATCGATTGATACAGATTATTTTGGCAGTGCTTAACTATTTTTATTTGTTAAGTGTAACGTTTCACGCCTACAAGTGACACATGTCGGGGGGGCTTGAGATTTTAGAAGTTATAAGAGTGTACTTTTACAATACTTTGCCTTCTACCCAAATAAATTAAAGGATATATATATATATATATATATATATATTATTAATACTAATTAACCAAAAATGCACCTGCCTAATGAAGAGATTTGACCTGTAAACTGTACACCCTATCTCCTGATTTGCCAAATCACACAGAATTCCCAGTGGTAACACCTTAATTAAGGTAACCTCATCAGCTAACACTAAGTCTATCCTGTCATTTAAACTCCCTGGGATGCCTCAGCTGTGTATACTCATTATAACATATTGTATATGTATAGTTGTTATCCTGGATACTCTTCCCCGGAAACACTAAAATAAACATGCATTTTGATAGCATAATTACATTCAAATGTGTTTGCAGCTAAAGTTTCCCATTATTTGATAAAATTTAGCAAAACAACATTTGCTGTGCATCTTAAATGTTTTCATAAGATGTTGTTCCCACTAGCTGAGCTATTTTGTTGGTTATCGTTTCTTTACTGAAAAACCTAAACATAAGCAACTAGTAATTCATCAGGAGCTAATTAATTTGATTATGAATTGGTGATTATCCTAGAACACCAGTAAGCCACGGGTCAAAAAAGGTTTGCATGAACCTACCATAAAAGAAAACAAAAATATTTAAAATCACTGGTATATTATCTCAGGGGGAGATTCTAACGACGCCTCCTTAGAGACTTTCTCGATATTCAACTCACCTCCCTCCACTATACTCCTTCCTGGGACTCCACTGATCACTGGTCGGGTCAGCTTGCACACTTCCGGGGCCGCCAGCAGTCCCCGGCCCGCCCCAACTCCCGTCATACGCGCCGCGGCCGCCCCCACCGTACTGGTACCCCCTGCCCCTGCTCGGTCTTCCTCCTCTGTCCATGGAGCCGCCCCTAATGCCACCCCGGCCCAGGCTGGGCACGCCGCCTCCGAGGCCCCCTCCGCTGGCGCCAGGACGGTTCTGCCACCCCCTTATCACCGGCGCTTGCTGCTGGGAGGCAAGCATCTGGAAAAATTAATGGTTGGTCATGATATAATTTTATGTAACAAAGTTTTATTTAATTTAGAAGAAGATGGTCGATTTCATAAGTTTCAGACTGATATATTTTATTGTTTTGTAATCTACCGCCATTAATTGGCACATACACTAGATAGGCACTTTCCAGCACACATTTACATCATTTATTAGTAAATATTTCCATCCCTTAATTCTGCCAGGAGTGTATTGTCACTACAACACAATTCACCCTGTATTCCATAGAACAAAACAAATCCTACTAATAGAATTAATTTAGTCTATTGGAAAGAACATGAAATAATGCAAGGTTATTCACAGCATATATTAATATAAATGAGATTCAGATTTGCGTGAAAATATGAAACAATACCAAGCAATAAAAGGTCAATTGTTGGTTTGCAGTACAACTGTTTTGATATATTAACACGTTTTATTTTGCTAATAGAATGTTTAATTACTATTAGAACAATCAAAATTAATATATAGTCTAATGGTAATGAATATGCCTCTTACCAAAACTCATATTACATCTTTCTGATTTGTAAATTTGTAGCAATTTAGGAGACCTCAAGAATAACCATGCAGATGGAAGTTTGACTCAGACTATAATAATGTGTAATTTAACATAAGAAAAACATAAAAGTATGGTTGCATCCACAGGTTCACAATGTATTGACAACAATCTTATTTTGACATTATCTTCTGTGGGCTTATGAGAATAGGTAGTTTTGATTCAAATACATTTATGTTTGTTTTGCCACTAAAACGTCTCTAAATGATTGAGTATGTTTTGAATCTAAATGTGTGGGTAATTACAAGTTCTTGATGTCCAAAAAGTTCGCATACTATTTGAAAAAATGTAACATTGCATATACACAGCTTTCACATGTGTTTTCTACATATATTTACAGTAGTTGTATCCAAGTATGATAAGCCCTTGGTCATCAAACAATATATAGTTCCAAATGAATGTTCTATCAAACACTATCTCAGTTATCCTGAATGTAAATACAGATAAAACATAAAATCATTTATTTCAGAATATTTTTTTGCATATCAGCCTCTATCTTATCCACATTTGTTTATCCACATTTTTGTTAAATGATGAATTTACATATGAATAACCAATTTCCCCTTTGATAACTTTCCTATGGTATTTCAAGAATATGTATAAATTGTCAAATATATTATGCTTAGAATTCTGAGGTATCTGTCTCTGACTCTCTGGTCGTTTGAGATTATACAAAAATGGTTATTAACATGGCAGACATAGATAAAACAGTAATACAAGTTTTTGTGCATGTTATTCACATAATTTTTTATTATTTATGGGTCCTCCACATCTGTCACATTTATGTTGAGATACTAATGTTCTGTGATTTTTTCCAGCACACAAAACAAAAGAAAACTGATGTTTATATCATTTTAATGAGCTAAGTATACCTCTATAATGGTAAATGACGAGATAAATAAACAGAACCCATATGTGCAACATGGGTTACTAAAATATTTTTTATTTTTACCTTCAGTTCTGCACTATCCCTTACACTATGTCTGACTTCTGGGCTACCAGATCCAACAGACACTGATTTACAATGACTATTACCCTCAGACCACCTTGAGAAGAAATGAATTGCACTTCTTCTAAGCTAGGTAAGCTTGGCTTCTTGACTATTCTTCAAGATTATCATTGTAACTGATTTTCCATAAGCAAGCTGTTTCAACATCTTAAAGCTTGGCATATAGTACCAAAGATCCAGATATATAATTCTATACATTCTTACTAAAATTAAATCTTCTATCTGATAACTGAGGAATTTAGATACTTTTATAAATATCTAACAAAATATTTTCAAATAAAATTTGATATTAGGACCTTAAAATACTATCAATACATCATTGTTATTAAAAAAAATCAATCATGAACCTAATTACTCACTTCTTCTTCAGTTGTTGGTAGCAATGCTAAAGGTGATAGACACTGTTCTGAATAGAGGCATTTGAAGTTAGTAATTGAGGCAGGAGGTTTGGCATTTTTGTCAAATAATGCCAACATCTCCTCTCTCCCATATCTGAAATAAAATAACAGTTACTCAATTTACAAAATATTATTTACTCAAAGAAAGTTAGAAATTTTAGAATATATTAAGAAGGCCTAATCATGCAATATAAGTATTATTAGTTATGACCATGTTTAGATTGTGGGTAGGCAACAGATTATATGAGTTCTAGCAATTTTTGATTACCCATTTACCATTTGATGCACTAATCACAGAACATACACAGAAATTTCTGAATCGGTATATAAATTATGAACAGCTCTTGTAGGTCATTTGCTTGTTCTCATTATACATTATCAGCAATGACATTTTGTGGTTCACCCGCAAAAATTGGTTGTCAGCTTATTTGTCTACCAATACATTTTATAAATAGCAATAACTGTTTTGCCCCATTTATTTCTTGTGATTTAGTGAGCTTTGTATTTGGCTGTGATTTCATACTCTGGTATGCAATAGGCTAAAAGTGTTTGCATACATAATTGCAAACTTATGTATTTTTTCATATCACTCAATCAAACTTTTGACAAGTTTTCTTTTATGGATAAAATTCAGTAAAAACACTGTGTAATGATTTTATCTTTATGTAGCCTTCTATATATTGTAAATCATCTACATTTGTTAAAATGATAGTGATTTTATGATGATCTCCATTCATGTTAATAATATTCCAAGCTATGGATGCACTGAATACTAGTTTTTTAAAAATATCGAGTCCAGGTACTTTGTGAAGTGATTAGTGCTGGATTATTTAAGTTACTATTAGTAATATTAAGGGTTTCTGAAAGGTAATCTTTGTAATAATTTTTTTTTCGTTTAAAAAAATTAACACATAACACTATGAGTTGTGTGGCTGGGACAATTTTTTTCGATGGGTGTATGTATTTATGATAATTTCATTTTATTATTTAAATACCATTTGTTTACTTTATTTGGTTATCAAAATGTGCTCAAAATAGGTAGGCAGTTTATATAATTTTCACAATAAATGAGTGACCTCATATCCTTGTTTCTTAACATAAACAATGTCTCTTAAAATGTGGTTAGAAGTCGGCTGTCATCAAGTGCCATTAGATGACATAATTTAGGCATTCAAAAAATAAATTATTCCAGAGCTGCTCAGTATATCACTCTCAAACCAAAAACCACTAGAAAGCAGCTCTGAGTAAAACTTCATCAGTCAATCTACATTCCATTACTGTGTATAGTATTACATTAACCTATTTTACCTTTATTAATATTATTATTAAACAACAAATTTGAGTTGAGTACAAGTACTATAAACTCAAACACATAAGAGATAATAGTGTACAGACAAAAGAAATATAACAATTTGACAATCTTAGCACTTCTGAAGGAGACATATATAGAATGGGAACAATATGTTAAGCACTGCGGTGTCTATATGATGGAAGACTGATCCATGCATCGAAGACACAGTTTGAGATAAAGCACTGATGGGTAGAGGTTCTAAAAGCTTCCTTCTGCAATTTGAAGTTATATCTGTTGTATTTGAAAGGATTTTCAGATAGCTGTACCTGGAATGTATAGCTTTTCACTTTGCTCACCAGAAGCATGCCAACTAAGCTTCTGCTATGCTTATTGGGCAACATAGCTTTAGACTGTTTAATATAGACACATAGCTGATTACAGTGTGAACATGGTCTCTATCACATATGTAAGAAACTTCAATATCTTCTGAATGTTGTTAGAATTTGTGTGCATGATACAGTGGTAATTTCGCAAAATTATTTAATTTATTTCAGTTATTATAAATGGGAGGTAGTACATTATTACAAAATGACAAAAAAATTGCAAATAAAGTCAAAAGATTTAAGTTGTGCATGTTATACGAAAGTATAAAATTACAAGGATAATAAACTATAGTAACATACTATTCTGACTGAAATTTAGCTATGAATATACAGAGGGTTCTGGAAACAATACTAACCGATACTCTGCAAGCTGATACCGTGTCCCACCACCTGTGCCTCCACCAGTAATTCCTGTACTTCCTTCAGAAGACAAGTTGCGAATCCAGTCTGGACCAAAATTCATTGAATCAGTCATCCTGAAACAGATCAACACAAAGCCCTATTTGGAGTAGGTATTCAAAACTCCGATCAGCACGTTTCCTCTTTTATACTATTGAGTAATAAGATAACAAATGAATTGTCCCACAGCCAAAGCAGTTATCCACAAAAATGGAGGTGACTATTTTAGTATCAAAAAAATGGTTGGTTTTGGGACTTGTACTTTCTCATATGCTGTTTGAAGTGTTATCGTTTTTGTGCGGATACATATTCAATTCATCTTAAAGCACGTTCGAAACTGAAAACAAGGCCCCAGGCTTATGGACTAGGTGGCATTTCAATTAACATACATTGGGCATTCAAAAGCAAATTAGGCGCTCCAGCTGTACCATTGCCGACTTATTTCATGAATGTAAATATTTTTTAGGCGTGTAGTTGATCAGCTACTGAATTACCTGGATTTTTCTTTTTGTTACACTTGGTAAAATGCAATCAACATAAATGGCTGCAGCGAAATTGTAGGTTATCGCGCATGTGCTCCAAAAACGAAAATGACATAATAACTTAACAAAATAAAAATTACTAAATTCGAAACCAAGGAACGGCAGCTTGAAGTTTTTGAAAAGAAGACTTTTCACGTGATCCCACTTCCTCTAATCATTGGTTAACGATTTTTATGGATGATCTTCAACCAATCATCTAACAAAAATCAAGCACTTCCTTTTTGAAAGAGAAAATTAACATCCCTAGTTTTTTATTTTTAGTACGTTCTGAGTACGTTCTAGGTTATCAAGGAAGTAGGTAGTAGGTACTTCCGTCAATGGTACTTCCATACTGAAAATAATGTAGCGATTATCGTCAAACGTGGACAAATTATTCTATTGTGTGTGTGTGTGTGTGTTAATTCATTTTTTAATTGTTGAATATTTAACAAAGGATTTCCTAAGAAACATGAAATAAATGTAATTCAAATACTGAAGGAGTACCTTTGTAAGGACATAAGTCTAGTCATTCTAGTAATTACAACGCCTCTGGAATAAAAATATTCCTCTCTAATCAGTTACTTTATTACTGAAAGCTATTACTAGATAATATTGTCAGCGTGTAATATAAAGTTCTGTAACTCGTTATTTTATTTATAAACAATTTTTAAACTGTGTACTCCTGTAATTATCATTCTTAAGGTCACTGGGCTAAAGTAGTGTACGTTAGTTCGAATTGTCAACGTTGGATGACAGTGGTTCACTTAAAATGTTTCCATAACTTTAATAGTCACTGGTAGATGGCAGAAACACAACATGTATTGAATGTATTGCTAAAAGCTGTCAAGAAAAATATGACAACAATTTGTTAGGCATTCCAATACTAGATAGCACTACAATTCCGAGAAATTAGTATTATATATCGATGATAGGTAGCGGCACAATTACGATAAGTGCAATTTGAATGCATCGCGCACCGGCAGCCGGCCGCCAGACGAAAACAAAAACAAAATCAGTCATCTCGGAAACTTAGGCAGTGTAGTAAAGCAAGGTTACTGAGTGTAGTGTGCGCGTGTAGGGATACGGATTGGGACTTTGTAATAGTGCTGAAATCCACATGTTTTGAGTGGAAAGTTTTTTCTTTCACGAACCTTTCCGGATGATGATGACTCAATCAGTTCATCTACCTGCTCCGAGGTAAGTGGTAAGGTTAACTCATGTAGTTCGGAAAGAAGTTGAACCACCGCATTCCTCTACCTGAGAACGGATTGAGGCCCATCCGGCGTTCCTTGTAAATTGTAAAGGCTCAGCCGGTACCGTGCACTAGGACTAAATCCTTGCTGTATGAGAGGGCTTCTGTGGTGTCATGCTCCTGATTGGTATTTGGATAAGGAATTTGCTATTATTGAGATGTTTGGAAGGATAATTATATTTGTTGTTAGAGAATAATATTTCTTAGCTCTTCAATTTCTTAAAAATGAGCACAATATAAGTAGGTGTTTGATATAATGAATAAATAAATTATGTATGTATAATTTGAATTTTGGAACTGTTCAATATTTTTTGCGTTTCACTTAAAAACACAAATCCGTTCTGAATATTCCAACATCTCCCATGTTATTACTCGTTCAGTCTTACCGTGATGTAAAATATACCCTATTCTATACAAAGTACCTAGGTATCTGGAATACTAAATACAAAATACTTTTAATTAGGAATTTCAGATACCAGACAGAAAATACTTTCTGGAACGGTATTTGAAATTCTAGATAATCTTTCGGATAAAGTTTATTTTATTACATGAACTATTTACGCGTTGATCGCGCAAATGTGTCAAAATATACTTTTTTGGTTTTAATGTATAGACAAGTAGAACCAATTTTCAAACATTTTATTGCTCATTTTTTTTCAATGACGCCTTAACATATCCCCAAAAGAATCGCCCCACATGGACAGAATTTTGCAGTCATATGTTATTGAAAAATATGTTTTATGTAGAATGTAAACTTTTTAAGCTGTTATCTTCATTATTTAGGTATTGCAGTGCTTATACGTCAGCTGTGATGACGGAAGACCATTTGTTTTCACTATTTTCACCACTTGCAATAGAGGAATCGTAATCTAAGAACATTGTAATAAGATTAGACTTTTTACTTTGTTTATATTCACGGTACCCCAGTATTCCGTGGACAAAGAAGTACCACGTATTTTTAGACTCAAAATAAGTCGATTGGACATAATTTACATCTGTGCGGGTGTTTGATTTGTCCGTTAGAAGGCTTTTTCATTTTAAAAGACATTTTTTCTCATTTTAAGGACCGATACTCCGAATTGAATGAAATTTAGAACGTCAAAACACGTCCGTGTGCACCGCCTGTTAAACGTATCCTCTGGTAAACAAAAATTTCTTGTGAAATGACCTATCAGCTGCTCTGCGTTCTGATACATTATTTACAAATCTTAAACGTGAGTCGAATAAGTTGTTCGTTTAAAATCCGGTAGGCAGTGCTTTTTTGAACTTGTTTATAAACAACATAAATGTTCTAATCTATCTGCGAGTGCTGATACCTGGATCTTCTTCGACCAATTTTTTCTCTAGTAGCGTTCGGCAGAGTTATTACGTAAAACACCTATAAAATGTAGAAAAAAACGATACAATGTCAACTTGTTGACTAGATAGCTGGTAGGTAGTAGGTACCCACTAGATATTAACACTTCATCTAATAAGAAAACTTTTTTGAAACCAGCTCCAAAAAACATTTTTTTTTATAAAACCATGTGAGTTGAACTGTTTTTTATAAGAGGCAAAGCATTAAGTATAGAAAAGGAAATCTTAAATAAAAAATTCAGATTCGTTGGGAGAGTTGCGAAAAAGGTATGCTATAATTTATGTAGGGGTGGGGGTAGAACCCTTTCGTTTTTTTTCGTAAAAATCAAATATCATCACGTCTAGCAAAACACAAGTGTTCCAAATTTCATTAAAATCGGATTATCGTTCCCAAAAATATCTGAAAAAATGTGTTTTAAAAGAAAACTTTGACGCCCATTAGCAGACACATACTTGGTACTTCGAAGTCCACGGAATATTGGGAAATCTTCTATAACTTCCAATATTATCTAAAACCTACCAATCTTGTTTATCAGATCGATTAAATTTCTGTTCCAGTCAGAATAAGTTCTTTTACATTCCTTTCACTAGACAAAAGTTTCAAAGGTACGTAATGTGAATAAATGCTTATGAAACTATTACTAAAAGAATTTTAGCAAGTATATTATTTACCAAACACTGAGACACCAACCGAAAGGGAACTAAATACAAGATACAAATACAATTTTAATAAAGTATGTTAGATAAAAGATGAAAATATGTATTTTGTAAGCTGTATCTGTATTTTGGTGCTTGCATCTCAAATAAGTTACCTCTCTGGTCTCATATTGTACCAATATGTGTTTAGCTTCGAGTTTCCCTAACCCTAAATTGTTAATCACAGTTTTTTACTCAAGCTGGAGACAAGTAGGTATAATAATAATAAAATAAAAAGTTCATTGCATATAAAAAACGCTACACTCAATGTTTACTAGATTTGCACGAAAATTAATTATTGCCATCGATACCGACTAATACAAGGATGTCACTTGCTGATCAGCTGATACTCGTGAAATAGGGTTTATACGACGTTCTAATTCTAATGTGTAATTCTGTACAAGTGTTTTTGAAGAATGCTTGGCAGACCATTCTTGCGCTGATAAAAATCGTTCTTTCCTCACTTTGGGTAGCGAGCACCTATCAGGAGGATTCAGAACTTAGTTTGGTGCTGGAAATGTATAACAATCATGTTTAAATTTTATATGCTGAGAACCAAATTTGTCTGATGGCTTGACTTCAATGTGTACGAGAGAGAAGTGTGTATAGACACATATGTTAGATAAAGATAGAAGCTGCCTGGATAACGAAGTTCATCACCGCGTTGCCTAGCAACGCTGACGCGGCAATCTGCCTCGTTGCCAATATGTTACACCAGTTCCTTGACTTAAGATGGAAATAATGGTTTTATTTTTAACGTACACATTTTTGACCGCAGCGTTGTCGCAAAATGTAACAATAACTCAGGATGTGTTGATTTTCTCACCATCGTTGGAAATCAAAGATTCTAAATTAAATTAAAACAGTAAGTCGCATCAAAATTGAAATCAATAATTCTAATCAAAAGGAAAACAAAATATTAAATTAAATGTTCGAACAATCCTCCTTCTTGGGTTTGACAGTAACCTAACCTATTGTAGCAGCCTGTGCGAACATTTTCTGGTGTAACGTATAGGCAACGCGGCAGATTGCATAATCTTCTGCGTCACCATTGCTAGGCAGTGTGGTGATAACCTCCGCTCTTCAGTCGGCTTCTCTTTCTAACATGTGTTGATACACACTTCTCGCGCTTCTCTCTCGTACACATTAAACTCAAGCCTTCAGACAAATTTGGTTTCCCTGTATATGTGTATCCTCATATAATATAAAAACTATGTAGCCTCAGCGTGAATATCTTCTAGCCTAAGCCAGCAGCTCTGCTCACGTGGAGGTACTATGAAGCATCTTGCATTAGTGTGAAGGACACTATTTTTGTAGAAAGATAGATATTTGTTATTCAACATTTCAATGAAACAATCTATAACATTCAGGTGTCCCGAAATTGAAGGATAATCCTGCAACTGTAGATAGGTCACGTTATGACCTACTAGATGGTAAACTTTTGCTTTATTATATGTCTTATAGTTTTCGAAATTTTCAGCATTTTTTAAACACTCAGAATTAAGTATTTCATCTCGTCCAGTATTATTTTTCTTTTAGGTAGCGAAAAACTCACATAAATCATGTCAAAGTTTGAACTTTTATT